GGAACCAGACATGAGAAATAGATCAGAGAGGGGAAATAGGAAGATGGATGAAGTGCAAGACTGGAGGAGCAAACGAGTCAATTCTGAAAAAGAGGAAGGAACTATGTGCAGAAATCAACGAGGAGATGGAGCTCAGGGGAAGAAATAGCAGCCAAAGTGATCTCAAATCAGAGATGCTGCTGGAGTGAGAGAGACAGAAAAGAATTGGAATATTTCAGGCAATAAGAAAACTGTAAACCTCTGTCCTCTGTATGTATTTGAATATGGCACCTCTGTCACCAACTCTATTCAGACAACTGAACATGGCCCTGCTACAAAGACAGGAGAAATCAGCTATGCCAAAGCTGCGAACTGTTGGCTTGCATTAGAGAAATCAGAAGCAACACATGAAACAGAGCTAGAGAGCAAGAGGAGGAACCACTGAAAACCATGTGTCATACCTGAAAATCAGACAAGTAGATGAAGTAGAAACAAAGTGAAATGCCAGCAGTGTAAACACAGTGAATGCCCAGAAGGAACCCAGGAGATGAAGAGGGTCAGAAGTGAGCACTACTGAATGAGGGGAAAAGGCCAGCAGTACATCACTGAGCTGTACTCATGGAGGGAGGAGGAGACAGGCTGATGCTGGATAGACTTTAAAACAATACTCTGCTTCCATTGCCCGGCAAAAGCTCTAAAATAAATCCAGAAAAAGCATTCCTCTTTCTGCATAAATTCCACAGCCCTTACAACAACACAGCCTCACCTCAGCACTGCTTTAGGGCTGACATGTCTGCAGAAGTGAGGGGGGAAGCACAGAGTCCTTAGCCCAGGCACAGTAGCCTATTGCCCAGAAGAAAACTGCATGGAAAGTTCATATATTCATAGCACAGACATGTTTGTCCTTTCTACGACAAGCAGTTGGGTGTTGCCTTCTCCTTCGACAGTTTCCCTTCTGTTAGTCCTTTAGTAACAGCAACATGGAGAAAGCTAAAAATAAAGCTATATAAGCAATGTAATAGGCATGCAATTGCATGTCTATTTTCTTTGAAAAAATGATGCTCTATTTCCTGTTCAATGGAAACTACAGTTTGATGTTACAACTATTAGCTCTTGACCAAATGCAGAAATTTGACTGAAACAATGACATTTCCCCCTGTATTTACTATTACCATATGTCACTGATTATACATTTAAGTTGCAAAAATGAATTAAATTTCATGGCTTCCTTGAGCTAGACTCTCTTGGAATGGACTGTCTTTTGTTATTAACCGAAATGCTTGGAAAACAGTTTCAAACAAAACAGCAGACTTTTGGTATCATTTCAGGAGAAAATTGGTTATCACAAACCAAGCGCTTAACACATCATCATTCAGAAGGCTGGGTAAAACTTTCCAAAGCTGCAGCAACCATGGCCAGGATAGAGAAAAGGGGTTAATTGAACACCACTGACTCAGAGATGGAAAAAAAAGAAAAAGAGAGAAAAAAGAAAGACACTGTTTGAAGCTCCCTTGCCTGGGGTCTTATTCCTTCTGCCTCAGAAGTTATCATATATCCCACATCACAGTGCTTATTTCACTTATTTAGGGAAAGTATCTTCTCTAAGCTGGCTACAGAGCATTAGTGACAGTCACATTGCACATATGTTCCAGGAGAAGCCAGCCTTCTCCCAGCTAGATTTCTTCCTGTTTTCTAAGGGAAAAAAAGAAAAATCTATTTTTTTGTTGTTGTTGTTACTCCTTCTGTTTCCCATCATGATTTGGATTGCTAACATTTCTATCCCCACTAGCAGTTCCCCGGTGGCTTCTGGCTCTTTTCTAAAGGACCAGCAGACAGCAGAGCCCCTGGGCTCCCATCAACCAGGAAGGAAGCAAATTGCAACCCACAGCCTCTCAGATTCTGACTTCAGACCTTAAAGTCAAGGTGATGTAAGGAGACTCTAGTAAATTCCTCACATCCATGCTTCCTTCTTTCCCCAGGTCCTGTCTGGACCTGCACAGCCAGAGCTGGAAGAGGACAGCAGTGACTAGAGAAGCCACCTCTGCAGGGGTTGTGGATGTTGCAGGCTGTGACACACAAGCTGCAGAGGGAGCTCAGTGGTGGCAGATATATGTAAAGCAGAACCTGAGCAGTGCTGGTGAGTGAGAATAAGGTTGTCATTCCTAACTGAAGACTTAAGGAGGAACAGGTAAAAGAAGTAGGGTTCAGCATAAGAAAAGGACAGATATGCTGTGCTTGCTGAGGACTCACCAGGCAGGATACAGACAGGACAGGCCTCAGTGAGAACCTTGCAATTCATGTCATACTTTGCCAAAGACTCAATCAATTGAGCATGTGCTAAAGCTTAGTTTGTTTTGTCTTACTTGGAACTTTGGAAGATATTTCCTATCTTGACTCATTGAACATGCTCCAACCACACACCTGCAACTTCTGGAGTGCATCCTCTCAGCGAGAGGCTGGCTAGCACGTCATCACTTATGCAGGGCAAATCCTACTGAAAGCACATCAGACCACAGCTTTCGCACCAGTTTACTTTTACATGTAGCACATGTAAGCTAACATCTGGCAAGAACACAACTATGTCCTGATCGAGATGGAGCTCATAGCAACAGATGGTGTTTGATACTGCAGGACCAGAGTGGTTCTACCCCTAACTGAGCATTATTTCTCTTTTGCATTTTTACACCCTCTGGCCACATCTTTTTCAGAGTGGATCTATTGTCACTATGGCTTTGCAATCTCCTCAGGACCACATACCATGCTCAACATTGCAGGTCACTGCCTAGCCCTAACATCCAGGTGATTGAGGCACGTCAGCGCATGAAGCAGGGTGCTGATGCAAACATTATATTGTACATCAGTATAACAAGAGGTTACCAATATCCTGAACCAGAGAGTGCCTCCAGTGCAGGAGGAAACTTTCTCTCCAGGCATACAGTAGCTCTGCCCGCAGGCACACAAGCTGCACCAGTAGTTAGCAATCTAGCAAGCAACATCTGCTGCCTATTTCGGGGTAAAGGATGGAAAAGCCAGCACAGAGTAGCCCTCAGTGCCACGTCTTCAAGACAGAGTTTCCTCCTAAAGGGAAAAGCATTCAGAAAAGGAAAACCAGCAATGAAATGAATGTTACTGTGATTCTGGTAGATACAAGGTGCGACCAACCACCTCTGCAGCTTTACAGTTACTGTCCAAGATTTTTTTTTTTGCCAGAGCTTTATTTTGCCAGTAGAAGTGCGGAGAGAGATTGCCACCTTGTGGTCCCTCCTCCTGCAGTGCCATGTTTTTTTCCCACTTGTACTAGCCCAGACTAGTGGTTTCCAAAGTGCTGTCCGAGGACTTCTAGGGACAAGGGTACTATGGACAAGAATACTTTCCAAGTACTTAATTAACTAAAAAAAGCAAGCCTGTAATTTACAGTCTTAAGGTCCTATACTGAGTAACTTATCACCAGAAAACCTTCCAGGAATCTGACCCGCAAGTTAATAAATATTATAAAATTAATATGTATGGCACGGGTAGACAGTTTCCAAACAGCAATACAATTCTGCTATGGCAGTGATGCACAAAAAGAGACCATCTTTACAATATTCTCAGCACCAAGAAATCTGCTAGAAATTCAGGCCTGATGACAGCCTGCCATTGCTAAAATTTGTGATGATCTTAGACAATAGTTCCCACAGGGTCCTAATAAGGAAGGAGCTATGTCCTCATCCCCACTGCCTTGCAGATAGGAAGGCAGGAGCAGACTGTGCTGGTCCCTAGTCACTCCGGGTACTGCTTAGGGCAGCTTGTGAGATCTGTTCCTCAGGTAGTATAAGTTGGGGTAAGGTCTGCAAAAGTAGGTTACCAGTTGGCTCCTCCATAAATCATGCCCAGGTAGAGCACTAGGCAGTACCAGTGGAACAAAGGGGGAGTTAGAAAGTGGAAGATCAGCCAGAGCTTGTGAAGCAGCACACAGCCCCGGTGAGCATCCAGTGAATTTATCCCAGAGAGGGGGAAGATTCCCTCCTAACACGGCAAGGAGCACAGATCTCCCTGATAGCTTTTCATGCCTGTCTGCCTGCTGGCATACTGACACAGAAAGTGACCTATTTTCATGGATGTAATAATGAGTGAATAATTAGAATTTTTGAGCGCTTTCTTTTCCTCTGTGACGTTTTCTGACTAGCTTCCTGCTTGGCCACTACTGAGCCTGTTACAGTTGTAAGTAACTGACTCTTTTCCAGTTCCCCAGCCTCGTTTCAAGGTTGTCGTGGATGCTGGTCCAGGGAAGACACAAAAGTTTCAACAGTTCCTAAGTGCATTCTTTAGCATATACTTCTGAAGCCGATAAACCCTGGCAACATTCCCCATCAGGTCTAGACATGACAATAAATGTAGTTACAGTGTGGTACATTTGTTTCCTATCAAAACCGCAAATCTAAAGACTATCTGCCCCCATTAAAGGAAACAAACAAACAAACCAACAAACGAAGAAACACTACCACGGGAAGAAGGTATATGAATTCGAGCTGAAAAGCTGACGAGTTGGGCCTTGGCAGATAACAGAGGGAGGCTGACTGCAAATCCCAGTTCTAGACACTGCTGAGAGAAGTCCTTCAGCAACCCCCGACCACAGTGCAAAGAGGGACGCCCTCGCACCGCAAACGTAGCCAGTGTACCCGGGATGACACCGGGAACCAGCGTGGCCGCAGGTGGCCAGGGCAGAGCTCACTGCTCGGGACCGCAGCCCACTCTAGCTGCCAGAGGTGGGGGCTGCCCCGTATCCCCGGGAGTGGGCTCTGGGGCAGGCCCGCCAGCGTCGCACCAGATGCGGAGGAAGAGCGCGGTGCCGCCCAGGATGCTCCCGCACGGCCCGTGCGGGGCGGGTGGGCGGACGAAGCGCTCGGTGCTCCGCGCAGTGTCCCGGTAGGCAGCCCCCCTCCACCGGCCCCTCCCGCCTGGGCACCGCAGGCCGGCTCCCGGTCGCACGTGGCGCGGCGGCTGCCCGCCCCCCGGCCCACGTGTGCCGCCGCCGCGCCGTGCAGAGCCGGCTCCCCGCTGCAGTCCCGGGGCGGCGGGCGGGCGCTGCGCTGCCGGCACAGCGGTATGGCGGCGGCGGGCCCGGGGCGCGGCGGCAGCGGCGGCGGCTGGGGCCGGAGCCGGGGCGCCGTCCTGCTGCTCTTCTTCTCGCTGTCGCCGCGGCCGCCGGCCGGGGCCGCCTGGCTGCTGGGGCTGCGGCCCGAGGACACGACGCCGGGCCGGGTGTCCCTGGAGGGCGGCGCGGTGCAGGCGGCGGAGGGCAGCCGCTTCCTGCTGCGCCTCTACTTCCAGCCGCCGCCCGAGGGAAACGGCAGCCGCGGGCCGGCGGGGGAGCGGGAGCCGCGGCTGGTGTTCATCGAAGAGGCGGCGGCGGGGAGCACGGCGGCGCGGGGCCCGGCGGAGCGGTGCCGGGAGCGCAGCGCCTGGGCCTCGGACGTGGAGGTGGTGGGGCCGCTGCGCTCGGGGGGCGCGGCGGGATCGGCGCTGGCCGAGGTGCGGGTGCGGGAGCCGCGCAAGGGCGAAGCAGCGGCGGCGCCGGGCGGGCGGGTTTTCTCTCTGTGCGCCTGGGACGGGCGGGCCTGGGCGCACCACGGTGCGGCGGGAGGCTTCTTGCTGCGGGTGCAGCCGGCTACCCCGGCGCTGGGCACCTGGCTGCTGCCGCTGCCCGAGGAGGGCTGGCTGCGGGCGCTGGGCGCCCTGCTGCTGCTGGGGCTGTCGGCGCTGTTCAGCGGGCTGCGCCTCTCGCTGCTCTCCCTGGACCCGCTGGAGCTCCGCGTCCTGCGCAACAGCGGCTCGGCCGCCGAGCGGGAGCAGGCGCGGCGGGTGCAGGCGGTGCGCGGCGGCGGCGGCACCTACCTGCTGTGCACTCTGCTGCTGGGGCAGGCGGGGGCCAACGCGGCGCTGGCCGGCTGGCTCTGTGCCTCGCTGCCCGGCGGCGGGCCGGCGGTGGCGGCCGGCGGGCCCCGGGGAGCACCCTGGCTACCGGTGGTGCTGTGCGCCGCCGCCGTGTTCCTGGGCGGCGAGGTGCTGCCCTACTCGGTCTGCTCGCGGCACGGGCTGGCCATCGCCTCCCGCACCCTCTGCCTCACCCGGCTGCTGATGCTGGCCGCCTTCCCCCTCTGCTACCCGCTCAGCCGGTTGCTGGACTGGGCACTGCGACAGGAGCTCAGCGTCTTCTCTACGCGGGAGCGGCTGCTGGAGACGCTGCGCGCCGCTGGCCCTCACGGAGACCTGGTGCGGGAGGAGTTGGCCATGGTGCAGGGCGCGCTGGAGCTGCGCACCAAGGTGGTGGAGGATGTGCTGACGCCGCTGGCGGACTGCTTCATGCTCCGGGCCGATGCCGTGCTGGACTTCGCCACCGTCTCCGAGATCCTCCGTTCTGGCTACACCCGCATCCCGGTCTATGAGGGTGACCGGCGCGACAACATTGTCGACCTGCTCTTTGTCAAGGACCTGGCCTTTGTCGACCCCGATGACTGCACTCCCCTGCAGACTGTCACCCGCTTCTACCGCCGCCCGCTCCACTGTGTCTTCAACGACACGCGCCTCGACACGCTGCTTGAGGAGTTCAAGAAGGGTGAGGCCGCCGGGCCACCACCTCCCGGGCTCCCCCTGCACCCCTCTGCACCCCCAATGATTTCCAGGTCAGCAGCCCCCACGGGCATCCCTGCGTGGCCTCCTGGCAGGATGCTGCAGGTACCAGGGATGCTGGGGGGAGTTGGGCCCTGCATGCACTGGTGTGGCGATGACCCTGCTGTCACCTGGTGGAAGATCCTCAGGTGGATTGAAGGCCTGCAATGCTGGTTGTACCTGTGATGTTATGGAGCCTTTGACCTCACACGTTGCTGGCTCAGCAGGTGAGCCTGTCCCACAGGGCTCATGTCTCTGCAGGAGTCTGGTACCATGGGCATGGTGCCTGCCTTGCACCCTTGCCCAGGCAAAGCAGCATTCGCTGTGCTGTTCTGTGCGGAGGAGTTTATGACAGGAAATCACATCTCATTACTTTGCTTTCACATTTTCAGCTTAGCAGTGAGAAACAGGTTTAAAAAGTGTTTCTGTGTAAGTGGTTTAAAGGCAGAAGAAAAGCCTAAGCCCTTAGAAGGAGATGTACTTTTTTTTTTTGCAGCTGTGACAGCATTCATAATGCAGCAGCTGCCAGCAGCCCCAGAGATGCTGAGAGCTGTATTTCATTAACCATACCTTGAGAATACGCACAGCATGTGTTTTGCCCTCCCACTGGGAATTGTGTTTTGCCGCGTTACTCGGTACGTCATACTGTGGTGAGTGAGTCTTTAAGAAATGGCTGCAGCAATGACATGCTGCATTATGTAATGCAGGAGGGCAGCATTTGGCTCCTGGGCTGCCTGGGGCTGCTCTGCCGCAGGCAGAGCTGGTCATGTGAGAAAGGCCACCCTGGTCCACTCCAGATACAGAGAAAGCCTCTCTGTGAGTCATCTCCGTGCTCTTTTTTAGAGCTGGGAGGAGGAGAGGATAGGATTTTTCTCGTGCACTGGGAAAGTGATCATCAGATACATGCAGGTCAGCATCTCCTCCGGAGATGCTCAGCTGTGTCCCCATGACTGCTCAGGATCAGAGGCAGAGGACTTTAGTGTGGCATGCACCACTTGCCCTCTCTGCCCCTCAGCAGGACTGGAGACTTCCAATGGTGCAAATCAGCAAATTCCTGGGCTTAATATAAGACTGTTAGCAAAACCATTGGGATTGCTCTCTGAGTTGCAGCATTTGTCTCTCCTCTTCCTAATTCCTTATGCGCTTCACAGTTCCTTAACTGTGTCTTCCTGCATGACACCACAACTGTACTGAAGTTCAACTGAGGTCTCTGCTACCTCTCTCTTGTCTAAAGATGTCAGATGACTTTGGCACCCTCTCCCTTGGTCAGCCTCTCCTGCAATTTATCTGATTTACTTTGATATACTTCTCCCTCCAAATTTGTTCTGGTACCCTATGGATCAACAGACCTGTAGAAATGGACTTGTGGTTGCTTAGCTCCCTGCCTTTTGCTTGCTGTCCTCTCTGCCCTCCTTAAACAGAGGTGTTCTGTGTGTGCCGCTCCCTGAGCTCACAGGTACACTAACAAGCCTTGCTATCCGCCCTACACTTTTTCATGCTAGTCTTCATCTCAGATGAAGATGATCCATCCTTTAAGTTTGCTCCATTAAACTCTTGGCATATCACTTCAGACTATTCTTCCTTTACATCTGCCTGCCATTGTGGCCTTCTGGAGTGTTTTGCTGCAGCCCCTATTTAGAGCTCTCCCTGAAACTTTTTTCCGTTCCCACCTCACTTCTACCTGTGTTTTCTAAATTAACGTCTGAAAAGCCTTGCTTCTGGTCTTAGTATGTAACTCATCATGGCGTTTAGCAACTCCAGCTCTTCCCCCAGATGTTATTCTCCAAGTGTTGATGTTCTCTTCTAATTCATCTTTCCCCTATTTGTAGGCATTTGTTCACCCCCAGCACCCTGAGTCTGTAGATAGTCACCTCCCAAGAGCCCAGCACTTAACCCTCCTAAACTCCCTTTTCCCAGTTCCAAATACAGGTTCTCGTGCTGGCTCCTGCACTGTGACAGATGTTTGCTTCCAGCTGTCTTCAGCCTCATCCACTGCTGTGTCAGCCCTGTTCACTTGACCACTTAATTTCTAAAATAAAGATTTCCCATTTGTAATTAAGAATCTTCATCACTGTCTCCTTTTCTGTGTCCGTTTGAATTATGGTGAAGTATTTTGTTTGATCCAATCAAGGTTGCTTTCCATGGCCAGGTCTTCTGTGACATCTCCACTAATTAGAAAGTAGGCTGATTGCTTGTTGGCTCAGCAAGTGCTTAATGAAGGCATTAATCACTTTGTACATTCAAGGTGCCTGCAGGACAGCAAATGCTCCCACTGATAAGGCCCCGTCTCCTTCTAGGAAATTAAAGTCTCTGGTAAGGATGGGTATTCATAACCATCTTCAGGTCCTTATGTCCTTGACAAGCCTCTAGAGAAACCTTGCCAGCTTTTCTTTCCATCTCCTGTGATTAACTCAAACAGGTTTTGTATCCTTTATTTATTTTTATTATTACAGTTTTTGTACAAAATACCCATAACATTTTATATCTTTCTTTCCTGGATAGCAGTGTGTACTTCTGATCTGTTTCACGAATGATTAATGTTCTGTCACATCCACTATACCAGTAATGTCAATTTTTGCATAATGTATAAGTAACACAATTTCACTGCCAGAGCTCCTTGCCACAGTACACAAATCTTTGTTCTTTCTTACTGAAAATGTCAAGGGATTATTAAATACAGCACTTTGGGACTCTTGCTCACACCTCTGGCAGCACTTTCATTTTCTGTCTCTTCTCCTACTCACCAGTATCACACTATTATTCTTGTTTACCTGATGCATTTCTTTTCTCTCACTGTTCTATCCTAGCTATGAAGATGATTGGCTTTTTTTACTCTCTAGTCTTTTATAGCAGGGTTTGAAGGGAAGTTTTCCTTCATTTGTTTCTAGGTATGCTCACACTAACCTCATTCAAGCTCAGTTCCATTAAGATGCATTGATGTTTGCTTTGATTTTAATCCATAGACGAGTAGCAAATTCCCTTTCCCCCAGCAGGACTTTCTGTAGAAGGGATTACCTTCCATGGATGTGTAGCATCAGCTTTCCAAAACATTTCAATTGGTATGAAATAGTAGCCTACTCTTCAGTAGCACCAAGGGAGCTAATGGCCAAGTGTGGTTATGGTGCCCAAGAACAGCTGTGAGCTCCTGTTTGACAAAACCTGGCCCCTGCCCCATCACAGCAGAACTGGTCAAACTCTTCTAATCTGCCTCTTCACAACCTTGCTGCTGCTGCCATTGTTTGATATCTCTTTTGGCACTAGTTCCTGCAGAAAGATGGTTAAATTGGAGGTCCTGATGGGAACTGGGAAAAACCCAGAGAAGGCTGCAAACAGCAGCAGAGGGGAGGTTTGGCCTGCTAGGGAATAGTTTGGACTTCAGCCCACAGCCCAAAAGAGGAGGGCAGCCGCAAAAACTGTATTGAGAAACAACATCACAGCAGTGTGAGACAGGTTCAGTTGAAGAAAGGAAATACTTGTGCTAGAAGATGGTTTTGACTTTTATCTTCTCATCAAAAGTCAGCAGAAATAACGAGGTCTGGACACCCAATTCCCTATCTTTTCAGGCAAGCTAGACAGGGTCTTTATAGAAGGCATACATAGTTGTGCAGCATTTACATAGAAGTGCTACACAAAATGTGTCCCCCCTTTGCTAAAAATAAGAAAATACAAGCCAGTATAGTAATTTTGCCACCCGCAGCCAAGTGAAAGAAGATGAAAATACTGAAGGAGTGAAAAAACTGGGAGACAATTTCTTGGCAATTTGTATTCTTACATCTCAGAGTACCTGGCTTTATTCTAGGCTCCCAGGAGAAAATACCTAGTACACCAGAGAAATAACTGCACTGTATTTAGCAAGCTAAAGCAATGTAGAGGAGCAGATGAGCTTCCTGTAGGATAAACCTCACCTTGGGAATGTGGAGCTAGAATGAAAGGTTTATACATTCATTCAGTGTGAAATGCTGTGGGTGGTGCAGTCTGTTTCTCCTCCATCCCTAAAAGATAACCAAGCAATGCGTGTTGCAGCTTCAGTCCTGTGATATAACTCCTCATGGGGACCTCTTCTGTGAGGTCCACCTCCTTGTTCTGTAGTGCCTTTGGGAAGTCATAGTCTTACCGCTTCTTCAAGTTGTTTATGGGTTTTGTTGACTGATTTCCTGGAGAATTCTATATACAGCAGTGTCACATTTCAGCAAGTAACTTTCCTCTGTCAGAGGAACAGTAGAAGTTTGCACTTACGTTTGTTTTCCTGCAGCAGGGCAGAGGCTGAGCTGCAACTCAAATTAGCCTTCTGTGGCTTGGTGTCTTTTAAGAGTTACTAAAAATAAATTCCCAAAAAACCCCAAACTTTCAGGCTTAGCACAGAGAACAGCCTGTCCTGTGGGGAGGATAGCTCTGCCCTGGAGTTTGTCTTTGCATTTCAAAATGCTCCACAGCCTACTAGACTTCTGCAAGTTGAATGTAACTGAAGAAGGTGCTTACACTTGCCAGGAACTGGGGTCAGTACCATTTCATCTGCTTTTTGTACTGTCCTTCTGAGCCTGTAGGAATTGCAAGCACACAGCGTTGTTTCAAATTTAACTTGGCCTTCGAGAGATTTAGTTATAATGTTATAGCTGCTATTCTGGGCACCTTGATGGGCTGAAGCAATGACCTCCTTAGGCAGTTGTATGGGTTAAGGAGCCAGTTTTTACCCAGGAAATATCCCCTACACATCCAGGCGATTGCCAGGCTGAGAGTGAGTGAGCTGCTGATAGACAAAAAATTATTACAGTGTCTCATGATGCAACTCTACCTGAAACATTACTGTGCATTACCCCCCAAGCTGTGCTAAATCTTACTGTGTAAACCCTGGGCTGCTCTATCCTACTCCAATAAGCCCAGGAACAGGCCTGCTCCGAGGAGGTGTTCAGCAAATCAAGAGGGAGCCTTGTCCTTGGGGAAGAGGGCAACCCACCACCCATCTCCCTCTTGGGAGCTGTCAAAGGCACCTTCATACTGAGCTGTGGAAAAGAATAAAATGGCCAGTTACAGACACAAATGAAAACAGTTTTGCATTGGGTCTTCAAAAGTTTTTTAGCCTGAGAAAGCCCCGGCATCCTTTTAGGCTTCCTTGGGCTCCAAGTAACATGCAAGGGGACCTGCCATTTGTGGGCAGGCAGAGTCATACCCAGGAGGTCAGAACCCTGTTGCACAGCAGATGGAAGGTGAGGCTCCATGTCCCCTTGAATCTCCCCCTTACCCTCCTGGTCTGCTTTGTCAATGGTAATTGATCAGCTAGTCCAAATATTCCACCTTTTTCACTGTTTTCATTAGGATTAGGAAAAGCACCAAAGCAGAATATGAGAAAGGCTACAGAGAGATGTAAGCAGGTGAAATTCTTGTCTCTGAAGAAGGTCTGGATTAGATTAGGATTTACGGTTTTCCCTTCGCATAGCTCTGATTCCTGTAGAGCTGGGAGACCCTGCAGCCCTCTTGGTTATTTCCCCCCTGTTTATGTGTAGATGTGCAACTCCTCAGGCTTGTGGTTTCACCCTTGGTGCAGAGTCGTGATAACACATGAGCACAGTCACATACACATTTCCAGTTCAAGAAGTTCAAGTCAGAGTCCCCACTTATTTCAGGTGCAGGTCTGCAAGGGGGCGCAGAGATGCTGACAGCCCCTGGCCCAGACAAGAGCTCTGAAAAACAGCACACAGAAAATAGATTTCAGTTACATCATGGTTGTTTCACAAATCGACCTTATTTAAAAATTACTCTCTTTTTTTTTGCCTTCCATTTTGTAGCTGTAAATGGTTCACGGCTTGTGCCTGTACCTTTGATCTCCTAGTAACAGCTTCAGATCATACCATAAAATTTATGAAAATGAATTTCATGCTCAGAATGTTCATCCCATGCAACAAGAGACAAGGCTAAAACATCTTTAACATTCCTCTGGCAGAGCACCTACATAAAAAAATGATAAAGAAGTAGTCTGGGCTATATTTGCAGCCAACAACACTTTCTTTCCCAGAAGTAAAGGCATTTCCATGTGTTCAGACCATGTTCTCCCATTGGGGAGGATGCTTTGAGGTGGATCTATGAGCCTAAGGTCATTTAGGTGCCTACGAAAAACAAGGCTCCTAAAAATGGGCATAAAAGCTGTAGATATCTGTTCAGATGCTTGCTCCATCTGGAAGCTCTCAGCTGTTTATATTAGCTCTGTAATTTAGCATTTTGAGGCATTAACTTTCCACTGAAGCTGTTGTTTGAAAAGAGCAGATTTCATGTAGCTCATAAAGAATTTAGTGCAGTTGTATCCCATGCTGAGCAGACACTTAATCACCTATAGACTTCCTGTGCAAGAGTAGTCCTGCAGAGGCTGGCGGAGCTATTCGCACAAGAGAAGTTAATTGCCCATTTGTTCTAGCATTTGGCAAACCAAGGCTTTGATTCTCAAGTGTTTCACTGTGCTTTCCTGCATCAGCGATAGCCCTGTAAAGTTCACATGTGACAGCTTGCTAGTGGGGAGGCAGCTCACCCTTATAATTCATCTCATTTGAGCTATTAGGCAGTTGTTACAATAGCATGGGTTTTGGGGTCAGTTTTATAGATCTTAAATCTGTTTTAGATCAAGTTTGGGGTTTGTTTAAATTATTTATCTCCCTCTTGTGCTCCCACTGAGGCTGACCTGCAGGGTAATGGCTGCAGAGGAGAATGTGACCCCTCTAGTGTCTCCAGGTCTGTCACTCCGCCACCTTCCCTCAGACATTGCTTCCTCAAAAAACTGTGCAGATTCTGCCCCTGTACAAGTGTAGCAGCTCCCAGGGCTGGGCAGAGGGATACAGCTGAGCTTGGCAGCATCACCCAGGAGGAAGCAAGCCATGACCATACAGCCAGGGCATCTGCAACCCCTCCACTCAAATTTATCAGGTCAAAATTTATAGGATCTGTTAAAAAACGGATGGGAGGAGATGCAGAACCCAGTTGGGTCAGAATGGGGGTGGGGGGCACGACTTTGCAAACAATCTCACGTCCCTCAGGTGAGAAATTGGGGCAAATCAGCCCTTTTCCAGAGGGGACCAGCTGGGAGCAGCACTCATTTGCAAGGGCTGGGACTGGGATCCAGGGCTTTTTGTGACACGGATACCAACTGGCCAGACATGGGCTGGGATTAGCTCACTTGGCGTGGGAAGTAGCAACCACATGAACTGCAACAATTTTCCACTGCTGGGTACCTGCTCCATCTCTAATGTTGGTGTTAGCCTGGAAACTTAAACCTGGGGGTTTATAGTATGACTACAAGTGTTTATTTTCTGTGAAAATAAAGAACTCTTGAGTGCTCTAACAGCCCTTCTGGCTCTACCCCCAGCACGGTGAAACCGTGGGGTCTCCTTCCAGGCTAACAGTTCTGGCTTATTTCTAAATAATCTCGTTTGCTGCTACGTGAACATGGAGCTGGAATCACATTTCTCTGAGGCTGCTCTAGTGTAAATTACAGTGTCGATGTAGGTGTTTGGCCAAAAAAAGAATTGCCTCCATCACTCTCTGACTGCCTTTAAGTAGCACCTAAGCTTTTTGTAAGGGCTTGGTGGTTTTGGGTTGCATGTAAATGTCATTAACAACAAGCTTTCAGCCAAAAGAAATAACTCCTCCTCTCTCCTTGCTCACCCGAGGAGCTGCAGGAGACCAGATGGCCCCAGTGCTTGGGAGCAGAGTTTGGCAAAGGAGACATTTTCAAAAGCTGGACTTTGCTAAGATGAAACGTAGCTGTTGCTGCTGTCTTGCAGCCAACTCCGCTGCTTTTTTCTTTTTAAGTGCTGTGTTACTTTATTACCCACTGAAGAGACAAGATGCACAAACCTATGTATGAAAGGAGTGAATATCCCAGTCCAAAGAACATGCTTAAATTTCAGTGCCCCAAGGCTATTGATTTGGGTTTTTAAAGTGCATCTCAGTGCTACTTACCGCAATGTTATGTTCTTGTTTCTAAATCTGTAGGCGTGGGAGGCAGCGAGCTGCTCTCTGAAATCTTGCAATAAAAGCTTGGTATGAGGAGGAGGGAATTTGTACTGTGGAAAATGCCCAAGATTTGCTGTGAGAAATGTATAGTGCTGATCTTAGGCTGAGAAATGTCATTTGGTCGTCTCAGATCCAGGGCAGGGTTATTTGAAGGTCGCATGGTCCCCAGCAAGATGTGTTTGTGGGACTGGCAGGCTGCTCTGGCTGTGCTTGTCCCTGTACGTCTGTGGGGACGAGCCAGAAGGCACTGGTGGGTGAGGAGGGACTGTGCAGCAGGGAGAAGCCCACCCTGTTACATCTTTATGTATAAACACTGTGCACATCTCCTTGCCTGGAGCAGCATCCGAGCTTGCTGGGGCTGGTTTATGGGAGAAGCAGAGGCAGCTGCACAGCAGGGGGGACTTGCTCCTGTTGTGGGTGACCTTTGCTGTTCAAGGAGCTCAGCTCTGAGCCCATGGGGAAAATAAGATGTTTGCAGCTTTCCAGAGGTCCCTGCAGTGCCCATGGTATAGCTGGATTTGTGCAGGCATTGCAACAGTAGACCCCAGGGATGAAAAGCAAACAGAGGGAAGTTGTTGGCTGTGGTACTGATAAGGACGCTTTTAACTTAAGTAAAACCAGGGGTTCAGAACTTGTGTGCACTGCTGAGCAGTGTAGGAGCCACAGGGGCAGTAAGAAAACCAGTGCAGTTCATTGGCAGGTCCAAGAATACATTTGAGCTAAAAACCCAGAAGTTGTTTGTGGCTTGGAAGTTGGGTTCTAGTCAAGATGCTGAGCAGGAGCATAAATCAAAGCAGTCAGTAAAGGAAGGGAGACGTTGAAGAAGTCAAAACAGCTTACAGAGGGCTGGACATGCTAAAACAAATAGAAATGTTTCAAGTATGCCAAAAACAAGAAGCTTGAGAATGTGTCAGCAGATCTGCCAGCTTACAAGGGACAAGTGAGGAAGCTAAAACTGTGATTGAGGAACACTGCAACTTCCAAGCAGGAGTCACCGTCATTGCAGCTGAAGGTCCTGGTCCCACTCTTCTTGTTTAAGGTAACAGAGAAGAGATGCTGTCAGGGGCAGGGCTTGGAGAAAAAGTTCAGGTACAAGCTGATGGTTTGAAAAGTGTTCAGTGTGTGTACCCAGATGGTTCACCCAAGAGTTCTGCAGGAGTTGGGCTGAAAGCTGCAAACAAACATACATGTTTCTGCATTAAAACCAGCTGCTGTTCGAAGGAGCCAGAGGCTTTGCCTGTATTTGAAGAAAAGCCTTAGGATCAGTCTAGACAGTGATGGATAGAAAGATGAGGGGGAGATGTTCCTGGCAATTTAATAGGAAAGATAATTAGCAACAGAATGACAAAACACCAGGAGGATGAGAGAAATCAGTAGAGCCCAAGAACACATTCACATTTCTATGTTGGAGAACGTTGTCCCATTGCTCTGTTAAGAGTTATCTCATGCCAATGAAGCTGAGGGTAAGTAAGAAGCAGCTGGTATAATGTACACTTAATTCCTGCACATGAGGCTGTCAAAGAGTGACTCACAGCCTTGGTAAAGAAAGCAAGTGGCCCTAAAAAAGAGCCTGTGACATCTACATATCGGCCTGGGTAGCAGCAGGCCTGTTAGGCTGGGCTGCGTGTCCAGCACTTCCCCTTGGGTTAGGGCTGTTGGGGTGATAGTGTCTGCTTCTGAGGTTTGGCTGTGATCTGTGCCTCCCACCAAACCCCATCCACCTGCCCACCCACCATGCTGGGGACACCTCTCACCAGGGCTGGATGTCTCACTGCCACTCTGCTCTCCCCCTGCAGGAAAGTCCCACCTGGCCATCGTGCAGCGGGTGAACAACGAAGGGGAAGGAGACCCATTCTACGAGGTGATGGGCATTGTCACCCTGGAAGATGTCATTGAAGAGATCATCAAGTCCGAGATCCTGGATGAGACGGATCTGTACAGTTAGTGTCCCAGAGCAGCTACTGCGGTTGCAGGAGCCAGGGTGGGAGCCGTCACAGACAGACAGACATGTGGGTAGGAAACAGGCCAGAGCAATTTGTGGTCCTTCCCCAGAGCAATCACTGTCATGGTGGGAAAGACAAGAATGATGGAGTGATGCTAGCCAGGTGTTAGGGAGTCTTGAATGCTCAAGGTAGAGAAGCATCAGTAACTGGTGGCTGGACAGGGCTTGACCCTGGGACATGTATATGAAATGCCCATGGGTGGTTCCCAAACTCTTTTGCAACTCTGGGTGATGCATCCAAGCCAGGGAAACCCAAGACTTGTTCCTGAGGAAGAAGTGTGTTTCACGATCCTGCTCCCTGCCCAGGGAGCTGCTCCCAAGGCTGTGATGCAGAGCACATTTTTTGCTGCTCCATCTGCTGTTCCACAGCAGCCCTACCATAGGGTGCAGCAAGATGTGCCTCTCTATGCATGTGCATGTGACATGGGGCCCTGTGGCTGCAGCAGCTTTGTGGCTGCTGCAGGTGAGTGCTCTGCTCTGCCTGCAGCGGACAATCGGAAGAAGGAGCGGGTTCCCCACCGGGGACGCAAGCCCCAGGATTTCTCCATCTTCAGGCTGTCAGAGAGTGAGATGAAGGTGAAGATCTCCCCACAGCTCCTCCTGGCTACCCATCGGTTCATGGCAACAGGTACGCTTGCCCTTGTGCCAGCCCTCCAGCTCCCTGCAGCAGCACCAGCCCTGCAAGGCATCCCTAAGCTATTCCTGCCTCAGCCTCCCCTGATGAGCAGTTTTCACCTGCCTGGACCCACAACCTGGTCATCCCACCAACGTGGCTCTGCCTTTGGCTGCTCTCTGGGCAATGGGGTGTTGAGGCTGCAGGAGGGGGCCATGCAGCTCAGAGGATGAGGGGTTCCTGGCAGCCCCAGACCTGCTGAGCATAGCATGCATGTGTTGCCTCCCCTCTAGAAGTGGAGCCTTTCAAGTCCCCCTACCTCTCTGAGAAGATCCTGCTGCGGCTCCTAAAACACCCCAATGTAATCCAGGAGCTCAAGTACGACCGAAAGAACAAGAAGGCAGCAGAGCATTACCTCTACCAGCGCAACCGCCCCGTCGACTACTTTGTCCTCATCCTGCAGGTGCCTGGAGCAGTGGCAAGCAGAGGGTGGGAGGGGGTGGCCCCATTTTCTCCTTACCACCTCGTTCTGGGCTGCTTTGGCCAGTAAAGATGCCCATGCTCTTGTATGGGACAGCAGGGGTCCCTGCAGCCCTAGGTAGGACAGTGGTTAGGAACATGGGATGCCTGTCTGAGAGGGTTTTTATTCTCCTTTCAGGGGAAAGTGGAGGTGGAGGTTGGCAAGGAAGGACTGCGGTTTGAGAATGGAGCATTCACTTACTATGGTGTCCCTGCCATCATGGCTGTCGTCTCCTCAGGTGAGGCCTCTGCAGTCTCCGTTTGGCCCTGCCTTTGATTCAGCAGCATCCATGGAGGCTAAGTCAGCTGGTGGCTGGGGGAAGGGGCTGGCCGTGGGGTGGGGTGGCCCTGCTGCCAGATATGGGGCAAGTGGGAGCCCTTTCTCTTCTATTCCCACAGCTCCAACTGTTGTTTCAGATAATGATGTGCGAAAAGTGGGAAGCCTGGCTGGATCCTCCTTCCTATGTAAGTATTTCGGGACAGGCTGGGGCCCTAAAACCTCTCCTCTGAAGCACTGGCTGGCTGGAGGAGGGCTGGTTTTTCACCCTGTGCAGAGCAGCTTAGACTCTATGCTGAGGTCATCCCTTAAAGAGCTTGGCAGAGAAACAACATGTTAAGGAGCTGATGCAGCAAAGTCCCCACAGAGGGAGTTTGAGGTCCCTTTGAAGTTTCTACTGTGTGCTGGATCTCTGCAGGTGGGTCCCAACATGGCTCGTGCTGCAAGGGGCCCTGCCCAAGGGTGGCAGCATGCTCATGCCAATGGGAGCAGTGAACCCTGGGACCCTGGGAGCAGTAAACCCTGTGACTTCTCACATGGTTCTTCTAAGTCTCAGCGTGACATCTCTGGACCCATTTGCATTCCCAAGGCTCAGGGCATGAGATGAGCATAGGTCCCACACTGGGGGAATGGGAGCTGCTCGGAAATTGTAAAGGTGTGTCAATTTACCTGTGGGATGTTTGCACGTGGTGGTGGTAAATTAGCTGAGTTGGTGCCCCAGTGCTGATAAATTCCCTGCCTGAAGAAGCAGATCCTCTGTTTGCAGAAGTTAAGAGGGAGCTCTGATTAGGGGAGACTGTGAGGTACCCCCTTCTTTGCTGATCACCCCTGCAAATATTTAGTCCCTGGTGGCTCAGGAACAGGTTGAGGTGCTACCCACCCCCAGTCCATCACATCCCTCATCCAAACCCCAGATGTTGCAGTCAGATCTGCAGTGCTGATGGTAAACCAAGATGCTCTTGGTGCCTAATCAAAACAAGAACCCACTAAGTTTAACCTTTAGGGAGGTGTAAAGAGGAATGGGATTGAGAGAACAGGGGAAGTCCCTTGGGGCAGGTGACTTACTCTGGTGAGTACCAGTCTTTGTGCAGCTCTAGGATTCACCTATTTTCTGCAACTTGATTTGCTTCCATTCAAAGTCTGGCTCGTGGACTGCTGTATTAACCCCTCAGTGCTCATTCCTGCTTCCCCATGCGTCCACAGTGCACTCAGTTTGGACAGAGGAAATCAGTGAAGTGGTTGATGTTGCTGGGTGGCCCAATGCCCCCATGTCCTGGGTGATGGTACTCAGGGCCCCACTGGGGCTCACGCAGGCCACAGGCCACGGGCCAGGCAGGGCTGTGTCAGCTGTGTCAGTGCAGCCGTGCATATCTGCCGCGCCGCCTGCCAGAACGCTGCCGATCCCCATGCTCACATGTGACAGTGTCACAAGATGTTTTCTGCTGTGCAGGCATCCCTGCCTGCCATGGGACATATGTGGCATCACACTCCTGGCCAGCAAGGAAGCAGGCTGGGAAGCAGAGGTGACAGGGCATCTCCCTTGTCAGGCTGGCATCCTCCTTCCTCCTGGAAGGAAAGCCCAACAGAAATGAGCGTGAGTAGTGTATCACAGCTGAGAATTCTGACATTAACCCTTGAGCATTTAACAGTTATTAATTAACTGTTGTTATGCAACTTTTTTATCGACAGCTGATCTTTGGCATTGGTGCCCTGTGGTGACAGATGCTGGGGGAGGGTTGGATGGTGACAGCAGGCAGTGAGTGCTGGTGGTTATCAACTCGTCCTTTGCCCCCATCTGGACAAGTTTGTTTGGGGCAGTGCTTCATGGTGGTGTCTTTTTTATTTGCAGAAGGTTTTTATTTGGGGGAGGACATGGAACAGGAGTTACTGGGGAAGATCAGAAAATGGGGCTGCAGGGCAAATTTCCTGCAGCAATTTAAAAACATTAATCACAGAGGCAGAAGATGGTTCCTAGAATATTGCAGCCATGCTACAGGCACGGTGGCTGGAGGTAGGGCAGCCAGAGGGCTTGTATCTTCCAGTGCTTTCGAGGCAGGTGCTGGCAAAGAGCAGAGATGAGACACGGGAGAGTGTTAAGGAGTGCACCACTCAGCCTGTGTGTTGGTCTCTCTGTGCTCCCCAGTGGAGCCCTGTACTCTGTACCCTGTGGCATGGCCCAGGGATGCTGTGGAGGGCAGTAATCACAGGGAGGGGGAACAACCTGCCTTGAAATTGTCGCTGCTGCTGTAACCCATGGCAATAAAACATGGAATGTGAGTGTCTGTGATTTACCCTCTTTGTGGCAATGGGTCAGATAGCCCTGAATGCAGGATCCTGGCTTCTTGCAGTTCCTGCAAGGATCAGCCTGCAGTGGGTAGCTCTTCTCAGCATTGCCCCAAGGCTATTGAGACCCAGGGCCTTGCAGGGAACTCCAGGCAGCCTGGCATGAATCCCTTTGCTTTCAAGGGATTCAAGGTGAATCACCCTCTGCCCGCCCCTGCCTGCAGCTGTGGGGCTGGGCTGTTGCAGAGCACACTCCTTCTCTGCCGTGTGCCTGCACACACAGAAGCATCCCAGATGCCAAGCACAGTGACTTACCTTCCTCTCATTTCCCAGGCGGCATAAGCTGACCACAAACTCCCCTGTCCTGGCAGTGGCTGGCAAAGGGTTAGAAAAGGATCCTAGCACTCAGGCAATTGGAGGAAGATGCTTTCTACCCATGCCAAGGCTCTAAGGAGTTGTGTGGCTGTGCAGACAGGCCGGGCAGGAGCTGGTTCTCACCCCCCTAACCTCACCTCCCCTTACTTCATCACAGAGAAGCCTGTTGATTTACAGCATTCAAGTCTGTGTTCCTGCTGTTGTCCCCGTCCTCTGGACTGGTGCACACCTCCCCAGAGTAGGGGGAGTAACAGTAGGGGGGTAAGAGGGGAGGGAAGGGATGCTGGAGAGAGCAGTGGGAGCTCAGCCCAGGACTGCTGGCACATGATTCTTTTTCTCATTCTTCCTCTTGGTCTGTACCCCACCCTCACCTCCCCCTGAGTCTCCTCCTTCCTACCCTGTCCCTCTCTCTGCAGTGCCTGTCTCAGTGTCCCGTACCTTCGCCTTCAGCAGAGGGGACTCCCTGGCTGGCTCTCCAGGTAACAGAGCATGGCTTTGGCCAGGGACCTCTGCATGTGGCAGGCTCTTTCTAGCACCCTGTCCTCAGTGCCCCAAGCCCCCTCCACCCTGCATGCCAGGCAGTGCCAAGAGAGAAGCACCCACAGCACCCCATGCTGGACAGCCCCTCACTGGTTGGAGCATGGGTGGTGACTGGGGACAGCAACCCTCTCCAGTATGATGCAAATCCCAGAAAGAATGGGATGGGGACAAGGGAGAGCCGTGGACAGCTTGGCCTTTCTTTGGTGTGCGCTTTCTGTAATTTTCTGCACTTAACACCTGGGAGTTTTGACTTGCTGCTTTTGATGACGTTACCTGCAGCCCTGCATGTATGCTGCCCTGCTTCCCTTGCTTTCTGGCAATCTGGGTAATAAAAGGGCATTTTAGAAGCAGAGCAAAGTCAGCACAACGTCACCCATGTAAGGAACAAGCTGCCTTTGTTTCCTAATAAATCACTGACTAGACAAAATCTGTCACACTGTGTGTCAGAGGCCATCAATCAACATGAGTGACAAGCCAGCTTGCCATGGCAGCTTCTGCTCCTGATCTGTCAGTCTGGGTGAACAGGAGCATGCCCTCAAAGCAGGTTAAGCAAACACCCATGGGCTGCCAGCTGCAACCAGGAGAAGTTGTGCCAAATGCAGTGCAGAAGGTCAGCATTAGCAAGAGAGCTGTCAGTGACTGGCGGGCAGCAGCCCTAACCTCTGCTGCCAGTGCCAGGTCGGATGCCTGCCTGGTCCCTTTGGTTTGAGAGGCTGGCATGGCTCAGTCTCCACCGACAGCGTGCACCGAGGAGGACCCTGCCACAGGGCCCCTGCCAGCCCTGATGTCCTGGGGAATAGCCACTGGAGGTGACTGGTCCACCTTGGCCCTACACTGGCACTGGGAACCCAAGCAACGCCACGAGTGAGAGTGAGTGTTTGCCTCTCTGCTGTGCCCTCCTGCAGTGAACAGGTCCCCGTCGCGGTGCAGCGGGCTCAACCGCTCCGAGTCCCCCAACCGGGAAGACTATGGGGGCAGCAGCACACAGCTCCACAGCAGCAGCAACAACATCTACACACCCGACTATTCCGTGCACATCCTCTGCGATGTGCAGTTTGTCAAGGTACGGGCTGGGCTGGCAGGGACTGCACCACCCTGGACACACCTGCCCAGGCACCCTCTTGCTCCACAGTGCCCCAGGAGCCTGGTGGGTGCCCAGTGGGTGGTGGGAGTCCCACACTCCTATTGTCCAGAGGTTTGGTGTTGCCAAGTCTCCGGGAGGTCCTGGTGGGGCTTGGTGCCCACTGAGTGGGTGCACGTGTCTGTGTGCCCAGGTGACTCGGCAGCAGTACCACAATGCGCTGGTGGCCAGCCGCATGGACAGCTCGCCCCAGTCACCTGACATGGAGGCCTTCGACAGGGATTCAACCAAGGCCTCGACCGCACGGGGAACCCCACAGACACCCAAGGAGGATCCCACCACCCTCTTGAACGAGAGAAACAATGTCATGTGTGAGTCAGCAGCATTCCTTCCCTGGCACAGGCCAATGCTGGATGTTCCCTGGGGTTTTGTGCTGGGACCCTCTGGCATGATGCACACAACCACCTCTGAGATGCAGTTGCACATGAAGTGGGCACATGGGCGTTTGCACGCACACACCTGTGGACGCTGTTTTGTGCCTGTACGTGCACACAGGTGCTACTGTGCAGACATAATTCCTCATTGCCACGCACTCATGTCCCCCGGGGTCTCTGGTAGCGGAACCTGCTGCTATGGCTGGCATCCTGCCTGCCATGTCCTGCCCCAGGGCACACCACCATCACACCTGCCCTGTGTCCCTGCAGGCAGCCACTCCGAGGGGCTGCACAGTCCCAGCGATTCGGTGTTCCTGCGCATGGAGGGCATCCCCTTCATCCAGGAGGAGCTGGCTGACAATGAGGAGAACAGCAAGCGGCAGAGTGAGTCTGGCTGGGGTACACGAGGGGGGTGGAGATGGCTGTGGTGCCCTGGGGCGCTGCAGCCATGCTGAGCTTTTGCAGACAGTGAGTGCTGCGAGATCGTCCAGGAAGCAGAGTCCGCAGGCAGAGAGGCCGGGACCAGCTCATCCCCGAGCAGCTCTGAGGAGGCGCTGGGCAAGAGGCTGCTGAGATCCCTCAGTGAGTGACTGACCTGGGCAGGGACCACCCAGGGGAGAGCTCTGCCCCGGCACCCCGCTACCCATGTCAACTGCTCCCCAGCCTTGTCCTTGAGACACCCTGCCTGGGGCTGGCATGGAACAGCCCAGTTCCCTATCAGTGCCCCAGCAGCAAGGCAAAACTGCTCCTAGGGCTAGCTCAGGCAGAGCCAGCCACCTGATCCTGGCCCAACCCTATGCACCCCCTGTCCTGAGCACCCTTGGCTCCCAGCACCCCAGCCCTAGGCACCCTTGCTGCTGCAGGTGGGCGAAAGCAGCGGACATCATCGGAGGGTGAGAAGACACCAGAGGAAAGCTCCAATCTCGCCCCATTAATCACCTGAGCAGCAGCGTGGCTGGAGCACAGTGCTGGAGGCCCACGTAGACTGGAGGTAGGAACCTGCTTCTTGGTACAACGTTCCTTCCCCAGCAAATGGGAGGTCCCTCAATTTAAATAGCATAAAATCAATTTTCAAGCAGGAAAGCCCAATGATGTGGTTTGGAGTCCACGTAGGCACACATGTGGGGGGCTGAAGTAGGGTCAAGGGATATAGTAGCAGACTGGGTGCCAGAGACTGAGTGAGACCTTGACTCGTGTTTTCACTAGAAATGTGTGTCTGTATCCCTGAGCCTGGTTAGGAAAGGTGTTGCAAATTTGAGCAGCAGCAGGTCATGGACAGCAAGCTCTGGCCACCTGCACCAGTCTGTGTTTGTGTCTTCCAGGTCTGCAGCATGGGGGTCTCCTGCCATGAGGCTCATGTCCAACAGCAGGAGGTCTGCACTCGCTCGCTGCCTGCCCACCCACTCGTGCCGCCCCTCCCTGCAGGACTTGTGCAGAGCCCCATCCCCAGGCGAGAAAGGATGTGCCCCTGGCAGGGCTGAACCACCCAGACAGCCTGGACCAGTTAGCTGGAGTCCGAGGGCCCTTGCCCAGCTGCTCCCTGGTAGCATCTGGTCTCAAGGAATAGGTGGAAAAAGGAAAGGTGGGGAAGTGTCTGTCACGGTGTCCCTGCAGGCAGAGCAGGGAGGGGCGGCCCAACCCAGAACTGCCCTTAGCGTCATTTACCATCCCCATCCCAGCAAGGCCTGGAGCCCCTTGGTGCTGCACAGATGTTGTCTCCACCATAAGGAGGATGTGCTATTTGGGGGGTGCCACCTGCAGCTCAGGGCCCCAGCACATGTTTGTGCCGTACCTGGTGACTTGCACGCTTGCAGCGCCTTGCTCATGCTGATCATCGACTCAGCCCTGCACTCCCGAGCCCCTGCTAGGCACAGGGCAGGGAGCCCCACTCACTCCCAAGTGCAGACCCCTCCCTGGGGAGGGGCTGCTCCATGCTACATTGGACCATCCTCCTCTCCACACATGCCCACCTGTGTGAGGGAGGCTCGCACCAAGCCTTCGGTTTGGTACAGACCAGTCAGTAGTTTTTGTAGAGGCTGAACGCAACAGGGATATTAAAAGTGATTTTTCCCTGAGCAATGCCATCTCTGTGTCAATGGTTGTAGGGAAAGACGTGCTAACCCCTCCCACCAGGCCAGGCTGCCCTCATACCCAGGGCCAGGGGTGGCTGGAGTAACTGGACTCAGCATCACTGAAGGGAGCAAGTAGAGGAACAGGTCAGCAAGTGCTTCCCAATTTCTCTCCATGAACCTGGGCTCTCTGTCACTCCTGCTGCCAGGAAAGCAACTTGGCATGCAGAGTTACACCACAGCAGTGCAGACAGGGACTGGGGAAGAATAGGAGTTAATATCATGCTATTGCAAACACAATAGTGGGATACACATGCTGGAGTACAGCCTGACAGATAACAACAGAAATCTCATAGTCCACCCATGCTGATAAAACTTGGAATAACTGTGGAATAAGGTGGAATAACTGCAACTCTGTCTGGACACTGCCCTTTCTAAGGAAACACACAGCAAGTGAAGGGTAGACAGACGAAAGCAAGGGCTGGAAAACAACCTACCCCAAAAGCTGAAGGAAACTGAGTCACTTTAACTGGTGAAGGATGTGAAGGGGAGAGAGGAAGTTTTCAAATACCTAAAAAGCTGTTGTAAAGAGGAAAGGAATAATCTGTTCTCTGTTGCCATGGTAAATGGCATAATGGGTAATGAGCTTACACCACAGAAAAGGAGAAATTTAGGTCACTTGCTAGGAAAAACAAGGTTGGTAAGGCTAGCAAAGCACTGATACAAATCACATGTGGGGCCAGCTGTCGGCCAGGCTCCACATCTGGAGGTCTGTAAGGACAGAATTGTAAGCAGATTTCAGAAATAACAAAAGCAGACTTGGTTCCTTAACTCCTTCTCCTGAGATCACCCCTGAAAGTCATCCTTTAACCACTTCCTCATCATCCCTTTTGTGAATGGACACCAAGAAGAGAAAAAGCTCCCCACCTGCAGAGAGAAAAGGCTGCCTCTGGCTCATTCTTTTATGTGGCATGACATAATCCAAAAAGGACAAATGAGACTCCATGTACTGTCTATGTGCAAATACAGCAAAGGAACAAGGAGCCATTTTGCCTTTTCTGCCTAAGCTGCAGCACAAGCAAACCCATCAAGGCAACAGTAACTATTGCTAACTGACCCAAGGAAAGCAGTTGTTCCCCTTTCTCCACCAAGATCTTGTCAGGAGGCTGCTCTGTCAAGGTGGTAATATCAGCTCACAAATAGATCTGCAGTGACTGCAGAGAGCAGGAGCAGATGGTCCCACCTCTTTTTCAGTGCCAGAAACACAGGCTGTTGCTGGCAGGCCCCCCACAGGGGCAGTAGATGGTGCTTCACCAGGGGCCTGCTGAAAAGGATGAACCAGAAAGATCCACTTT